TCTTCTTCTTCTTCTTCGAGTTTCAGTCTAAAATTCAGTCAAAACCAAGTCTAATCTTCACCAAAACCCCTCAAAATTGAGATATAAACTCCTAAACATATTCCGAATTATTTACAACAACACCCAATCCAAACAAATAATGATTTTTGAAAACCCAAATTTGAATTCAAAGCTTTCAATCTTTTTAATGGCTATCAATGATGGAAAATATATGGAAGAACAAATGAAGATGAAGATGAAGATGAAGAACAAAAATCTCCTCAGAATCACACGCAGATCTGGTGCCTTCATTTTAGCGCGTTTTTATGGCAAAATCTACCTATTTTTGGATTGGTATATAATTTATAGTAAAAGTGTGGACTACACGGATAAATAACAAATTATGAACATTTTTTGTAATAAGGTTTGATATATGGTATAGATAGGTAAAAATCTCTTAAAAGTTTGTTATGTTTGTCTCCTATATTGTCATCCTTTATACACTATTAAATGGACCGTTCTTTGCAGACATGAATGGAGCCAATAAAGGTTTTTACGGGATGTGCTTTTCTTGTAATTTGCACACCTATTTTTTTCTATTTTCATTTAGACATAATTTCACATATATATTTTCAATGATAATTTTACTTATATACCAACGTTTTTATAATTCCACTGTATCAATAACATTTGCGTGAACGTCCCCTAGTGAAGGTTTGATCACTCACTAAGCGTTCGGGGCATTTGCACAGGCAGCCACATTTAAGGCAGCTATTCAAAATATGGGCATAAATGAAAAATTAGTGCAAATTTAGCCATAGTCAATCTTTGGTCTGAAGTTCGAAATACAACAACAGAACTTTAATTTAGAATTTGAATTACTACACCTGAATTTCAGTCTAGTATTTATGCCAAACTTCAGACTAAAAAGGGTTGTGCATTGATGGTGGCTAGCTTCTAAAAATATTTCAGGTTGTGGCTAAATTTTAAGTACAGTACACACATGTAGAAATTCAAAAATAGCCAGATTTACAACTGGTCGTTCAAAAATAGTCTAGTTTCAAAAGTAATCGAAATTTAGCCACTTTTCATGTAAAGAAAAATCTGAGCGAAAACACTGTTCAAAACCTGAAAAATACGCCAGTGTATTATACTGGAGTTCCAGGATAAGTATGCTGGAACTCCAGCATAATATGATGGAGTTCCAACATAAGTACACTAGAACTCCAGCATAATATACTGGAGTTCCAGCAAGTATAATTGTCCAGTATAATATACTGGAGTTTGGAGCATCGATGCTCTAGTCTCCAATATATTATACTTGAGTCAACAAAGTATACTAGTCCAGCATAATATGCTGGAGTTCATACAGAGGTGCACCGAACTCCAGTATATTATGTTGGACTGGTCTCTGTTGCAGCAAAATAGTAGCTATTTTTCATTGACTTCGTAAATATTGGCTATTTTTGAATGACCAGTCCGAAAACTGGCTATACCGTGCTATTTTTACCAGAAAAACTGGTAAAACATAACATAGATTTTTTTCCACCGATCACAGAATATCGATTAGCTTTACGTGGTAATGTATACTCCTTCCGATCCACAATAAGTGACCATTTTACTTTTGGCACATCCATTAAGGAAATACAACTTTTAGAAAAAAAAGATGTATTCACTAAATTAACCTTAATTAATTGCTAACTTGACTCATTGGAATATGTAAATAAGGGCAACAACAACAACAACAACTATGTGTCATGACCCAAACCGATGGGCCGCGATGGGCACCCGATACCTTACTCAACCGAGTACCAACGTAACGTATCTTTCTTATTACATTATCATATACACATGATATACGGGCCTAATAGGCCAACATAATTCTTTATAAACTCAAAACATAGGCCGACAAGGCCGTACAATCTTTTATGTATACGACATATATCTACAAGCCTTTAAGAATACATAAATGTCATAAAGGTCGGGACAGAGTCCTACCATACTAAACAATACACGTCTAAATCATACTAACCAAACGAGCAACTCTGAAGCAAATGGCGTGCACCAACATCTTCCACTGAGCTGATAGCCTACTTGGAGGGCTCTCGACCTGTCTATCGGGACCTGCGGGCATGAAACGCAGCGTCCCCAGGCAAAAGGGACGTCAGTACGAATAATGTACCGAGTATGTAAGGCATATAAATAAGTACATAAGAGACATGGAAGAAATATAGAGTACATGACTCAACCTGTAAGTCTGAATAACTTTGTATGCGTATGAATGTCATGTCGTGCGTAGGTACATGTTTCATAACATCATCAGCCTCTAAGGGCATCCCATCATATCATATCGGCCACTGTGGGCAAAATCATCATCGTATACAACTTGATCAGGCGGTGGTGCGTATATAATGCCATAACCTTTCCCATATCCCATATACATATATATACATACATATATACACGTATATAACGTCGTTTGAAACATATTTCAGCCACTGTGGACAACATTATCATTATATACCAGCTGATCGAGTGGTGGTGCGTATATAACGCCGTAACCTTTTTCCCGTATCGCATATAAATATAATATACATATATACGCGTATATAACGCCATCTGGTCATGGGTCAATGCACATGTATAAATGGATGAAATGCATGAAAAATACGTTATAATCTTAATATGCCTTCCGGATAACCTTTTTCAACTGTATATTATTCTGAGACCCGTGAACAGGAAATAATAATATTTTTTACGGGGAATCAAGAATATAGACACCCCTAATAACTCTATGAATAGAGTAATTTATGGAAACTGTGTATTTGCTCGTTTCTTCAATATAATTTGGACCATGCCAAAAGAAAGAAGGGATGACCTTAACATACCTGAGTAGAAAAAACTCCGTATAATATTCTTGGCGAAGATTACACCATACTCTTTTAGAATCACAAAACTTGGACGGAATTGCTTCAAAGTTCTTGGTTTTGAAATGGAACATTTTCTGCTTCTGAAATTGAAACCTTGCTTTGTTTCGAAATGAAAATGCTTCTGCTTTAATCGTTCTTGGCAGATTTGTGTTGGGCTTTAAAGAACTCCCAAGAAGCAATTTCAATTGGAATGAAATGCCACCACTTACGTTCTTGGCTAGTCAAAGGCAGATTGGTTTTTGCCTTTTTACAAAGAATTCTCTATCTTATCCAAAGTCTTGTAAGAATTAATTTATGGTATAAAAGCCATCTGGCAAGGTGACTTTAAGAGTCATCTTTTGCCTATTGTGGCTTTATGACACGTGAAATGGTGGGTGAAGATTATTAATCTTTACCCACTTATTAGTTAACTGAGTAATGTCCCGTTATCCGGTAATTAATTAATTACCCGCATAATTGAGAATTATTCCCACTTACTTGAAATATTACTCACTTTTCACATACCTTATATGCCTTACTATTATGGTCATGTGGTACATTGTATGGTACTAGTCCATAAATACCGAGTATTTTAGCTTGAGCCGTATTTTATCCCAAAATACCAAATTTCAACGAAATTCATTTTCTTAGACTTGCTCCCCCTTTCACCTTCATGAAGTTACTAATCCCTTCTGAAATAGCATAATCCTTATAATCCTCAAATAATCTTTTCCTTGGACTGATGTCAATTACCTTACGATAAATTCAACGTAAAATACTATAGGGTGCAACATCGTCGTAACTTATTATTGCGAAGTGTAACATCACTGTAATGTAATACTACAGGGTACAACACTTTCGTAACTTAATAATGCAGGACGTAATATCAATCGTAACATATTACTGTAGAGCATAACATCGTCGTTAATACTGCGGAACGTAATATTGACGTAATATTACAGGGCGTAACATCACTCCCCTCTTTGGAACATTCGTCCTCGAATGTTGACTGATGCTCTTATCATTTTTGTAACTTATAGTTCTTGTGAATACCTTAATACTCTTCTTTCCATTTAAGTAGTTGCTCTGTGAATAAATCTAAAGTCTAGGATATTCCCCCCTTTAGTCTTTTTGCTCATATCATGACCTGTGGTCGAAATCTTCCTAATCTTGCAACTTCTGTTACCTCCTATC